CTCTGGCCGCCGCGGCCATGTTGGCTAGTGAGCGCGTGCTTGATGCTGGCCGCCACAGTCAGCAGGGAGCTAGGCGGTGCCAACTCCGCTGACACGGGGCTTCATGGCGTGCAACGACAACCCCCGGCAATGAAGCGGCACGCTCGCGGCCGAGCTCGGCGCGCGGCGGAGAGATGAGCTAAGGGCATCCACGCCTACCCCGCTGGCGCTCCATGGAGAGGCAGACGAGTTGCCGCTGCTCACTTTCTCCACCGAGAGGAAAAGGATTCGTGCCCATAAGCTGTTCGATGAAATGCCTCGTTGAAAAATGGTTGTGGGGAAGATGACCATCTAGCCATTGACGTGTCAGCCCGACAGGTGGGGCCTACCTGTCGGTTTCGCTGTTTTCGCGAGCTAACTAAACAATCAGTGCTCTGCGTTATCGGCTAGGCACAGAGTTGGTGGTTTCTTGTGTCATGGCTCAAATATGATATCAACTATCAAGTTGTTACCCTGGCCTCAAGCATGATGGTTTTGGGTAAATAACTCAAGTAACGGGCATAGCCCCACAGAGCGAGCCTGGGCTTAGACGTGGTTACCGCACAAAACAACAAGCTTACAGACAGGACCGAACAGGTACAGTACTACTCCCTCCGTCCCAAAATTCTTGTCTTAAATTGGTCTAAATACGGATGTATCTAGTTACGTTTAGTGTTAGATACATCCGTCCCAAAATTCTTGTCTTAGATTTGTCTAGATACGGGTATCTAGACCCGTATCTAGACAAATCTAAGACAGGAATTTTGAGACGGAGGGAGTACATGTTAAGGCAAAAAAAGGAAAACAGAGTACATGTTAAGGCAAAAAAAAATGCATTCAGCCTTGGCTGCATATCTCAGCCAAGGAAAAAAAATTAAGTATTTTTTACTCAGCCAATAAAATTAAAGGCAATTGCCCATTCCATTCAACAGAAGCATGGGTTCTTATTCTGCATCGTCATGAAACAAGTACATGGATGTTTAATACTTCCTCCGTAAAGAAATATAAGAGCAAATATAAGAGCGTTTAGATCACTCTTATATTCGTTTACGGAGGGAGTACATATCTATTCATTGATGACTGATCTTGCAATACATATCCAGCCGGAAACTCTAGTGTTGAACTAAACCATCTTCGCATTGCTGAAGAGTTGACAAAACAAACAAACAAAAATCTGGACAGAAGGGCCCGTTTTAGTGACAAAATGAAGAACAGAGCGGATCACAATTCGCACATTATTAATACTTGTATCAGTTCAGTTGTACAAAAGTTCGGCAGAGTATGATACACCATATAACCCTCGCAATAGAATAAATAAAAACTCCACACAAGTGGCAAAATTAGGAAGTGTTTCTAGCTTTACATGGTGGCTAGTTGCTAAGCTCTAACCAACAAACAGAAACGGGGGCAGAGAAAATGCAGGACCTGATGATTGCTGACGGAGAAACGGCGAATATCACAAGCAACCACTAAAACCTGACCTCTTCAGGGCTAACAACAGTTCAAAGGTGGCAATACAACCTCCGAGATAGAACTCCTGGTTGATGACCTTCTTTTCATGCAAGAAGCTATCACTCATCATGAACCCGTCTTGGCTGAGTATCATCTTGGCCAGTAAAGTAAATCATGACACCGAGAAGAGCAACAACAAACATGAGAATGTATAACGAGTTCATGCTGACAAGAGAGTGCATGAAACCCATGAAGGAAGGGCCACTGACTTTCTTCTTTATTGTTCTCCCTGCTCTATATCCCTCAAGGAATTGGCTTAATTGGGATGCTTGGTCGCCTTCTTCTAACTTTTCTGAACCCTCCACCTTCGCAAGAAGCATTTTCAGTCAGTTACACGACATGACAAACTATAAAATGGATGCTGACAAGCTAAGCAGAAATAGCAGGTTAAAAAAACACGCTTCCGTATTTCTTTTCAATATTTTTAACCATACCTCTATATCTAATTTTCAAACTTCTAAAATACCATATAAATATGAAAGGACTAAACATATCGCTTCTACCGAATACGATATAACCAATATAAGCACGCCGATGAACAGTGATACACTAAAGGTGGTTTCATTAGGATGCTGGTAGCTGGAACAAGAATAGATTACCGAGGTAAGTGTTAGACTTACTAGTTCATACTCTTCATTTCTGTCCCACACTAGCAGCTTTGGCAATTGTGAGCTCTTGGAAACATCAAAAGTCTCCACAAACTCCTCCCATTGTTTGACTCCAACATATCCAAACACCAAATCACGGTTCGCATGAGCAGCAGACCTCAAAATTTTTACCAGCTGCGTAGAATTTACATCTGAGTCATCCTCCAAAATTGCGAGGACAACTTTTCTGTCATCATCATCCAGCAATTTCAGTGTCTCGGTGTTGATGGGGACAGTCAAAGGCAGCAGCGATTGCCTTACAAAATCTTCCAAGAAGCGTCCTGTGTACACAACAAGACCGTCATTTACTAGCCTCATAAACGTGGGACGATAAGATATTAAAAAGTTTCTACATGTTAGTCAAATTACCACTCAGATTCAAGAAACTAGAAACTGTGAATAATAGACATAAGGAGGGAATAAAATAATGTTTCCTAACAATTACCTTCAAATGGGCCATAGAACACACTTTGTTCATTATACTTTGGATGAACTGCAACCAATGCTGGGATCTTATTAAAATCATATGTCGCCATCCAGTCCTCAGAAAAATCTTTTGCGACGGCAAACCATGCTCTTTTCTTGTATTTTCCTCCATATTCAGCAATCAATGACTCATTAACCCCAAAACCGATGAACATCGGAAAGCTTGTGCCGGCATTCTCAACAAAGCTCTTGATTGCAGAATCCGACTCGAGAGTAGAAACATCAGGCGCAACAAACTTCTTAAGATTGCGGACAAGCAAGTCAGCTTTCCTTGAACCAGTGTATTCAATAGGGACCCCATGTATAAAGAGCATTAGAGTAGGGAACCCACTGCACTCAGAAGAAAAATAAAGAACATCATAATGATAGCATGTACAAATCTCTAAACCCAGACTAGTTATGGGCGGAACACTTACTCCACTCCATATTTTGATCCAAGCTTCCTGTACTTGTCGGCATTTACTTTGGCAACCATGATGGGCTCACTCAATCCCGCCAACACTGGTGCAGCTTCATCTAACTGCAACAGTTTATTTTCTCAGTCTTAAGTCCTACAAGACAGATACTCCAAAGTTCCCTCCTTTTATAACAGTTCAAATAAGCAAATGTAAAATTTGAGGATCTAGTTAAGGTCAAGAAGGAAACATCTTGATACACTTATGGGTCTGGGTCTGTTTGGTTGGTGCCAACCTTTATCGTACCAAAATGTTGGCAGCCTGTGTTTCTTTGAATCTTAATTGGTTGGGATGCCAATGGAATCTTGCCAGCTCTCCACACATTCTCTTTACAAATCTTGCCAAACTTTGTCCAACAAAGGGTCAAGGAATCGATATGTCATGAACCAAACATACCCTATACCAGTCTATGGTAGGCTGAAAAGATCAAGAAGACTTGTGTGCAGCTCAATAATTTATGTTCTTCGACATAGTAATCTACCTTAATTGAGGTGATGGCGCGTGACATTTCATGGTCCACTTAACATTTAGGTCGCCTCATACGAATTCTAAAATAAAATTTCATTTTGTACGCTCTCCCCCTACCCTCGCGCTAACCTGCTAGAGTTCCAAGAGATCCCGGTAATGACTTGCGATCCGAAACGCTCGATTAACCTAATTCCATAGAACTCGCGCAATTGGCGAGATCCGCAGCTGCATCTCAATTCGCACCATGGACAGTCGAAAGAACTGAATTCGCGACACATCTCTCGGGACTAGTGATAGCAGTAGCAAGTAACAGGGTGTGAGGCCGAGTAGCAGCAGTACCTCGGGAGCGAGGCGCTTGCAGTGGCCGCACCATGGCGCGTAGAAGTCGACGAAGAGGAAATCGATGGAGCTCAGGGCCGCCTCGAAGTTGCTGTCGTCCAGGTCTATCACCTTCCCGTCGCGCGGAAACTCCTCGGCGGCGGCGGTAGCGGAGAAGGGCGCGAGCAGGAGCGGGAGGAGGAGGAGGAGGAGAGGAAGCGGCGGCGGCGGCGGAGGAGGAGCCATGGCCGTGCGCGGCCGATTCGATCTTCCGCCGCGTCTGAACGGGAAGGGGTGGTTCTGGTGCCCAAGGAACTGTCTGTCTGTCTTGATGGAAGAAGGGGTTTATTGGGGAAAAGTTCATTTATGCCCCTTCTTCTTCTGAAAAAGAGGGACGCAAATTCGCATTTGATGAGCCATGTCGGCCTAAGTTTTTTTTCCCCTTCCTGATCTCGAAATGGGTAGGAGCAATTTGTTTACTAGGCCCCGTAGTACGCTGCAAAGCCAAATGAAACATCTACCAAAGCTCTCATGATTTACCTCGCTCACCAGTTGGATTATAAATACTCATGCTCAAAAACAAGATTAAAAATTCATCACCAGTAGGACATCGGCGAATAAGTACCAAGCCAAAGTATAAGCTTAGTTATACCACCACACAAGCACACGAACATTAAACAGTTTGAATCTGCCTCTTTCGCCATCTTACAGATTTACACTTCGCAATTTCGGGCTATAATCCATCAGACATGATCTGAGCAATTTTCGCCAGATAATAACAAACTACACAATCATTATCTGACAGCATATAGACGGATGCAAAGTGCAAAAGAGGCCTCAACAGGTGCCAAGAGGAACGCAAACAACAATTGGATCACACTGCAGGGTTTCTCCACAGCCTGGAAAGTTCAAGCCACTTGTATTATTAACAGAAAGCAGTGCCGTAAAGAAACGAGCTTAAGATTCAGATCATCTGCTAACAGCAAATGGAGTAACACGAAACAACAAGAGTAAGGTGAAGTGACAGCTTTGGCTTCACAAAATGCTAAATTCAAAATAGATCCAACAAGTAGGCCCAGGGAGGGGGCATGTAAGCTCAGCCCGAGGAGGTCTTCTTTTGCTGGAAGACGACCGCGAAAACCGGGACACCGACACCAATGCTTACAGCTCCCAGCACCGAAGTCCATGCAGTCAGCTTCTGATGCTTCATCCTGTGCAAGTTGTACATGTGCTTGGCGTGGAGGTAGTATGGCTCATCATGGCCATGCCCTGACATCCTCTTCACACCGGTAGCATGGAATCCACGTGAAGCTGATGCACACACAAAGAGCAAGTAATCAGCAAGCAGAAGCGAATTTAGAGATGTAGAAAAGAGTTGACAGCTCATTCAATCCCCACGGCTAACAAACTACCACAGCAAACTTCACTTCTTTACATTCTCATACTACATTGCTGCAGTCACCTCTATGAGTGTTTATAATGATCCATGAGTCCATGGCCTTATGCCAAGAATTCTGCGTTAGTATCCTTACTGATATTTTCGAGCATAATCAGTAAGTTCTGACAAAAGTCCTGTCCAGCGTTGTCATTTAAAGTACAGAAGGAATAATAACAGCAATAGAAGTCCAAAACAAATCAATAATTATTTCTAAAACACACAAATAAGAGGCTATGTAAAGCACACGACAACAAACAGAAACCAAGAGCACCAAAAGCCTGGTGAATCTTGATGATATGCCAGAATCCTACTACTACTCTCCAAGTGTATGTGTGATGGGTCTTTATGAGCATCTATGTCACATGATGCTCACCTAAATTCCATCAACCTTATTATATGTCCATATTTACAGCAGAAAGCAACTCACACAGCCTACCAAGAATTAGGACATGGAGCAAAAAGGGTTACAGTATAATGTCATACTACTAGTCTCAAAGTGTATGTGTGCTGGTTCTTTATGAGCATCTATGACACATGATGCTCACCTAAATTCCATCAATCTTATTATTTGTCCATATTTACAGTAGAAAGCAACTCATGCAGCCTACCAAGAATTAGGACATGGACGAGCAAAAAGGGTTAAGAGTACCATGTCACACTACTAGTCTCCCAAGTGTATGTGTGATGGTCATGTATGAGCATCCATGGCTCGCATGATGATCACCTAAATTCCATCAACCATATTATTTGTCCATGTTAACACTAAGCGCAAATCAAACAGCCTACCAAGTATTAGAATACAGACGAGCAGAAAGGGCTACAGTGTCATAACAAGAGTAATATGTTGGCATTAACCTCTTTGCGGGCTAGATCTAGTTTCAGCTTATAGATGAGCAGACTAGCAGTACAAGGTTGCCAGTAAGCTTGAAAGTGATTTGGTTAAAGCTGGTAGTTAAGAAACATATTACACAATATTCTTTTTAGTCTCCTAGAATGCATGTTTAATGTTCTTTCAGGAGCACCTGCCACTCCCGTAATTCTCATGTGCATTTCATAAATTTTAGTCTTTTTCGCTTTCTACAGCAAGACACAACCCACGTGGCTTGCCAAGAATTAAACACTACAAATTATGATCAGAAGTTGTTACAATGCCGTAAGAAAATACACATTTTATTATTTAATTTATTAGGAACAAAAGATAATTGGAACTCATGCGGCAAACACATAATTAGGAGACTGTAACCAGGCAGGAAATGGGATTAAATACCATAAGATATGCATAATATTTTCCTCACCGAAAGAAAAGTATCAAAAAATTAGTATATTTCCTGTTTTTCATGCATAGAGATGAACCAACAAGCAATTCAAAGTTGCCCATTAGAAAAATGATAAGCTGGTAGTTCAGAAACATGCTTTATCTGGTTCTTGTCTCTAAGAACACATGTATGATGATCCTTTATGAGCACCTACAACTCACATAATACTCACCTAAATTTCATCAACATCACTCTTTGTCCATATTTACAGCAAAACGCAACTCATGCAGCTTGCCAAGAATCAGACATTACAATCAAATTTTGTTACACTATCAGTCTAAGTTATCGGTGTAGCTCGTCAGTACATGAATGATAAAATGCTAGACAAATTGTGTTTCAGTCGATCTAGTACTCCCCACCCATATTCATTCCTGACAAGGCTAGTCGCTGGATCCATCCATCAAAGAAGGACAATGTAAAAAACTGATTATATAATAAACAATTCAATCGAAAACCACATCCATATCCACATCTGAGGGGCCATTTTAGCCTATGACGAACCATTTCCCCAAATTATATTAACGATTCCAAAACAGCCTGGTACTACGGTTACAGATTCCGAGTAATTTCCACGGGTCAAACAGATCTACCGCTGCGCAGATAAACATCAATCGAGATGGGCAGAAGTAAACAGCCGGAGACGCGAATCGCATCATTCAAACCCCAATCGGATCATAGAGGAGGGAGGGGAGGGGGGGGGGTCCTTGCCTGGCTTGGAGGCCTCGGCGCCGGTGGCGAGGAGGCGGATCCCGGAGCGGAGGCCGCGGTTGAGAGCAGTCGCCATCGCCTTGGTGCTCGTGTTCGTCTGGTCGCCGCCGCCGGAGTTGTGGTGGTGGGTGCGTTTTGGGGGTGATTTAACCGATCTGCTGCGACTCGGCTTTCGAGGGTTGTGCCCTTGCGAGGAGCGTGGGGTGGCCAGTGACTCTGGCTGGGCCTCCAGGCTTGTGAACGGTGGGCGATGAACCCTGGTTTGGAAACGGTCCTATCCATGCATGGGCCTAGATGGGCTGAATAGGCAAAAATGATGCTCGACACTCTTTAACTTGGTGCGGCAATCTCGTCTGGCTTTTAACATGATCAGAGGTCCCGCTGCAACAAGGGTTTTCCCCTAGGGTTTCGCTAGTGTTCCACCGGTTCCTCTGGCGATCTAGCCAGAGTCCACGTAAAACCTCGGTAGATCACCGGTCTTCTCTGGTGCTCATCGAGTTCTACCTCTACCCGTCGTGCGCAGGTGATTGCATGGCGGAGCCAACATCTCAGGAGACGGGGGGTACGGAGGAAGTTCTGGCGGCAGTAGATGCGGTGCTTACGGTGGAGGGTGAGATCGGATCTGGGGTAGGAAGGCGGGGTCGTGGGAGAAGGGAGGAGGATGCATCGAAGGGAAGGGAAGGAGAGGAGCAGGGCTCGCAGAAGGGGGATTTGCCGGATGGAGAGGAAGATGAGTACGGCGACTTTCACGATCATGATCTTGAGGGTCAGTTTGCAGGGTTGAAGCTGCATGGGAAGGAGGAAGAAGGCCTGGATTTCTCAGAGGAAGTAGATGATCTAATCAAGGATGTACGCTGGCTCGCCTTGTTCCGCGTTCATACTACAAAGCCGTTTAGTCATGCGGCGCTCTTGTCTCAGATGTGCAATGCGTGGTCGGCGGCGCAAGGGGTCACTTTCAATATCAAGGGGTCGAACTTGTTTCTTGTCCAGTGTCACTGCTTGGGGGATTGGAGGAAGATAATGGAGGGAGGACCATGGTTATTCAGAAGGGCTCCGGTGGTGATCGAGGAATATGATGGTTTTTCAGATGTGAAGGACTATAGTCTCAACATGATCCCATTGTGGGCTCGTGTGAAGGGCTTACCGGACGGTTTAACACGGAGAAGAGAGCTGGCCGAAAGGGTTGCAGCAAAGGTGGGTGACCCTCCGTTCACGGTGATTGTAAATGAGGGAAGAATCAACCCAGCAAGCACTTTACGTGCTCGTGTTTTTGTGAATGTGGACACACCGCTGGTCCGTTTTGTACACATCACTCTGAAAGAACGCAAAAAGTTCAGTGTCTACTATGAAAAGCTTCCGGATTTTTGCTTCGTTTGTGGCTTGATGGGGCATCTAGCGGGCGAGTGTGGAGATGGAGTGCATGATCCCAGATCCTTTGAATGGGGAGAATGGCCGTTGTGGGAGCCTGAGATCCCTTCGGGCCAGCCCTTTGGAGGTACGGGAGAGGAGATGGCACTGGAAGAGGACGAGGGAGAGAGTCTGGCAGGGGAGACCGTGGGGGAAGAGGGGGTAGAGGGACGGCGGAGGCTAGAGGTGGAATTGGATCACAGGAAAATAGCTCACAGCCGGCGCAACATATGGAGTTGGAGGTGGAAAGAGGAGCTCGTAAGCGGCTGGTTAATGCCGATGGATCTCTCACTATAAGGGGGCAGCCGATATCAAATCTCGCTGGTAGAGTTGCTGACACGGTTATGATGCTGGAAGGAGCGAGCCCAAATTCAAGCAATAATGTCCCGGTTTCTACACCAGAGAAGAATCCAGTAGTAAAGAGGAGGAAGCAGCAAGGTGAGGAGGGGGAGAACATGGATTTATCTACGGAGGCGGCCTCCCTCGAGGAGGGCCGCCGGGCCTGATGAGGACCTTATGTTGGAACTGTCGTGGGATTGGCGATCCTGCGACAGTTCATGAGCTCCGCGTTCTCGTGGGGGCTAGTGCGCCGTCGGTTCTATGCATTGTGGAGACTCAATTAGCAAACAATCGAGTGGAAGGTTTGGCGGCTTCGTTAGGTTTTCAGAGTAGTTTTGCAGTAGCTAGTAGTGGACGGAGTGGAGGATTATGTATTTTTTGGAAGTCTGATGTTAATCTGGTAATAAAGAATTTTTCTCAGTATCATATTGACTCATGGGTAATGGAGCCAGGCAGTGTTCAATGGCGCCTTACTTGCTTCTATGGAGAGGCCAACAGAAGTTTAAGATACAAAACATGGGACACGATGAAGAGATTGAGAGAAAGTACCTTGTCGTGGCTGTGCATAGGGGATTTCAACGAGATACTTAGACAGGAGGAGCAAATGGGTCCTAATCCAAGAGATAGTGCTCAGATGGTTGGGTTTAGAGAGGCAGTGGATCTGTGCGGTCTGGCTGATATTGGGTACAGGGGGATAGACTGGACTTTTGAGAAGCGAGTAGCAGGAGGTCAGTACTGCAGGGTTCGGCTAGATCGGGCTTTGGCCTCGCCAAGTTGGTCGAATGTTTTCCCCTTTGCAACTGTTGAGCACTTAACAGCAGCTAAGAGCGACCACAGCCCAATTTTGCTAATGAACGATTTGGAAGCGGGAAATTTACGTATTGCGAAGACGCCTTTTCGATACGAGTGTGCATGGGAAACCGATGGACGGTTCAGAGGGGTAGTCGAGTCAGCCTGGAATGACAATGGCCCGGCCTCTTCAGTTTTGGAGTTGGCTAACAAACTACATGATGTTTCAAACTCATTGTCGAGGTGGGGGAGGCACCTTTGGCTCGGTTCGTCAGGAGTTGCGCTTGCTACGCAGTCAACTTGCTGCGCTACGTGATGATCCGTTGAGGACAGGACCGAGCGAGGAGGAAAGAAGGATTGAGGACCGCATGGTTGAGCTAGCTTATAGGG